GCACCTCAAGGTGTTCACCATTTAGGAGTTTTTATGGAGGTTTCATCACACTGACATGATTGATTAAATCACTGACAATTGGTGATTAGTTCAATCTCCTGGCCCCCTCCCCTCCCCAGAGGTTGAAAGTTCCTACCCTCTAATCCTGGCTCAGTCTTTCTGGCCACCAGCCCTCATTCTGAAGCTGCCTAGGGGTTCCCAGCTATCAATCACCTCACTAGCATACAAAGGACACTCATCACTCATCCCCAAGAGTTTGGGGAGCAATGTGCCAGGAACTGCAGACAAAGATAAAATGTTTATTTTTTATTAACCACAGTCCCTCTACTCAGAAACCTCCAGTGGCTCCCCATGATAACAGAGGAGAGCCCACACTTTTCAGGGTGGCCTGTAAACCGTACACAATCTCATCTCCCCTGATTCCTGCCACCTTGCTCTGGTCCAGGCCGATCCATCGTGCAGATTCCTGCCTCTGCACCTGTGCTTCATCCTCCTGCCCCTTCACTAAATCAAAATGGAATCAAGGGACTTCCCTGGTGGTCCAGTGATAAAGAATCTGCTTTCCAATGCAGGGGTCGCGGGTCTGATCCCTGGGCAGGGAACTAAGATCCCACAAGCCGCGGCGCAATGAAACCTGCGCACCACAACTTCTGAGCCTGCACGCCTCAACTAGAGAGCCTGTGTGCCACAAACTACAGAGTCCATGCGCCCTGGAGCCCATGCGCCACAACTAGAGAGAGAAATCCCGCATGCCACAACTAGAGAGAAGCCCGTGTGCCACAACTAGAGAGAGAAATCCCGCACGCCACAACTAGAGAGAAGCCCGCGCACCACAACTACAGAGAAGCCTGCGCACTGTAACAAAGACCCGACGCAGCCAAAAACAATTTTTTCAAAAAGGAAATAGAGAGAAGCTCGTGCGGGGCAATGAAGACCCAACACAGCGAAAAATAAATAAATAAACAAAAAAATAAATAAATAAAATAAATTTAAAAAAATGGAATCAAAACATTTCTTAGGACGCCATTGGTTTAGAGATGTAAGGAACCTCAGATTTTACAGATGAGGAACTGATGACCCAGACTGCTGAATGGCATAGCCCCAGATTATTGATTCATTATCTCTCAAAGGCAGAGAGAATGGTACCCATCTCTGAATTCTGGGGACGAGCGCTGGGGATGACAAGCTCCAAATGAACAAAGTCTTGTGTAAACTTTCAAAAGCACAAACCACACACACACACACACACACACACACATACACACACACACAAAACAAAAATTAATTTGATTATACCAAGTGGAGGATTTCTGTTCAATGAAAAGACACTATGGACAAAATTACTAAACCTAAATAGAAGATATTTGCAATGTCTAAAATTGATTACAGGTCAACACTTAGAATTCCTGAAAATCAGGAAAAATAGAGCAAACCTAATTTTTAAAAATAGAGCAAAGTATGTGAACATGCAATGAGGGAAGAGGAAACCTCCAAAGTTAACAAACATATCAAATTCACTAGTTATTAGAAAAATACAAGATCAAACAATGAGATGTCATTTTACATCTCCTGGAAAGCTGGAGAATGATGCAAAGCGGGGGGTAAGGATGCGGGGGTCACATCTGCCTGGGGGTGGGTGTGGTGAGTAGAGGGCTCCAGGAAAGCAATCTGGCGGTCCTTACAGTGCAGTCCCTGTGGTCAGCAATTCTGCCCTTGGGTATGGATCCCAAAGAAATCCTCACAGGTGGGACCTGCAGGAGGCTGTTCGGGGCAGCACACTTGTGGAATTGCAGCACGATGTGTGCAATCTCCAAACCCATCATGGGGGAGCAGATGCTAAAATGTGTGGAGGTCTCCATGGAGCAGGATGCACAGTGTACATATGGGGTAGATACAGAGTGACACCACTCAATGAGGAAACATTAGGAATAGCTCAGTCCAAAAAAATTAATAATCAAACCTCTGGTGAGCCCTGCAAATACAAACTGCTACATGGTGTTGTTACATGATTAGCATTTAAAAATAATTTTTTTAAATAAAATTTTTTTAAAAAAGGTAAAAAAAATTAGTTCAGACAATGGGACTTAGAAGAGATGGTGGAGGGGCCGGAGGAGGGTGGTAGGCTGTGCGGGGCAGTCAGAATCAGATAAACTGAGAGCTGAAAACCCAAACCCCCATTCCTCACAACTTTTGCTTTTTTTGGCAGGGCACATGAAGCTAACCTTTACTGAGTACTCTGAGCCAGGAGGGTGCTAGGGATTTTTACATTTATTATCTCATGTATCGCTTGCAAAAATCCTACACCGTTGGGTAGGGGTGATCCTTCCTATTTTGCAGTTGGAAACAGGACACTCAGAGAAAGCAACGTGCCAAAATCACATGGTGATGCACATCGGATGCACATCAGATGCACATCTGAGCTGTCTTCCTGTCCCTCTGCCAATACAGCAACACCAACTAGCGACTTGTGACATTCTCCCTCTAGAGTTTTCTGCCTGGCAGCTGGGTCCAGGGGTCTTCCCCAGGCTTGCCCTAGGCTCCAGAGCTATCAGAACCCCCCCAGCTCTCTCCCTGGGACACACGGGTCCAAAGGTCTAGGGAACTGCTGAGGTTAAGCTAGATTCTAGTAGCTTCCTCTTTGCCCTCCAGACCCACGCATCCTTAGATGTGGCTACTCGAACCAGGTCCAGTTTCTAGAGAACTGGAGACGCCCCTGCACAACTGTTTTCCCCCCTGATCTAAATCTCCAGCTTCCTGGGAGTCAAGATGTAGCGGCAGGTGGGTGGGCATGGGAGGAACATTAACAGCAGAACAGCGATAAATTCCCTGAGAGCAGTATAAGCAAAATGACAGTGAAAAACCTCTGTAAACCCAGAACAGGGCAGAGCTTTGTTAAAGCAACACGAGAACTAGGATTTTACGCAGGTCAAATCATGTTTGTCAAACCCCAGAACTGCACAGAGTAAGTCTGATAAGATGCTATCAGGAACCTGGCTGTTGACCCTCCTCTCCCTCCTTACCCGCTGCCAACATTATATAAGCTGCCTAGTTTTCCTCAGGCCCCAGTCCAATTATTCTTAGTGAAACTGAAAAGAAAGTAATTCCATCCAATAGAAAGTATTCTAAAAGGTCCCAGTGGTGATGGGCTGTAACTTGCAGCAGACTGCTTTGGCTTTACCCAGCATCCTTCATAAACACTTGATATGATGACTAACACTGTGAGCTTAATTTGACTTAAAGAGAAAAACATTATTATTCAGGAAAACTAGGAATTATCCATCTTTTTTTCACCAAAAAGAGTCTACACAACTGTGGAGAAAAGAGTGACACAAAAAGAAAAGTTTAGAAAGTTGTGGTTTATACATGAAATCAAAACAAACTTATGTAAGGTTTATTCTTCCTCAGAGGAAATGGTAACGTAGGCTAGTAACAGGTAATTTTATAAATATTTATTCTGTTGTTACCTTAGGGCAAAGCATCAGGCAGGTTGAGCTGCGGAGATAAGAAGGCGAAGAGGCCACTCACGGAATTCTTGGGACCCACGATTCTTTGGTGGAGTCCAGATGCTGGCGAGCTCCCAAGATAAACTCTGGGGCTCAGGGGTCCCTTCGTATTGCTGCTGCTTTGAGCATCCCTGATAACCTTAAAACCAACGATCAGAATGGAGAGGAAAGCTCTCTGCCCTTCTTTCATCTCTCTACAATGAGCTTTCTTGGAAAAAACACCCCAAACAAAACAACTCTACCCTCTTATCTTCTCCTGTCCTCCTCTCTCCAAGTTTCCAGGGGCGGGGGGAAATACAGCACTGTGCTTTGCTGACCTCTGTGCTCTTCTGATACAAAGTGTGCCATTAGCCCTCTGTATTCCAGCCTGTACCACACCTCTCCCTGCCTTCCAGATGCACACACATGGACTTCACAGATTTCCCTGGACCCCTGCTTTGTTCTTCTAAAGCTCCTAGGATTTCTTGCCCCCAGTTTCTCCACAGAATCCCTTTATTCTAGGATTTTACACAGGGTTAAACTTGGTGCTTGTTTGACTTACAAAAGTCATACCTATTTATTACTGTGTAACTCCTCTCTGCTCCTTTTCTAGAATTCAGTCTAACAAATACGGCACCACCTTTAACAGAGCACTGGGGAACTTGGACTTGAACTCTTGCCCACGTTTTAAGAGCCTCTCATCTCTTAAGCTGGACTCTCTTCCTAAATCTCTTCTGCTAAACTGGTTTTACTGAAATCCTTTGAAACCCAGTGTTTTCAGCATTTTAGCCTCCTCTCGAATTTTCTTTCTTTCTGTGTTTAAACCTCTACAGCAGGGTCTGGTAATAATAAGAACTAACATTTAAAGAGGCCATACTATGTGCTAGGCAATCCTCTGAAGTAGATGGAATTATTACCCCCATATTACAGAGGCGGGAACTGAGGCAGAGAGAAAGTCAATTGCACACAGAAGGTGCCCAGCCTTTTTCCCAAGTCTGCCAGCTTAAATATGCTTAAGCTGCGGGGTCAAAGGGCTCTGGAGTCCATTCTTAACCTGTCTCCCTATTCTGGAGCTGGGTGACCTGCGTAATGCACTCAACCTCTTCGACCCTGAGTTAGTTTCAATTCCAATTATTGGTAAATCGAGATAAAGCATTCTTCGAAAGACCGAGCAGTGAATGAGAGATTCGTGACGAGTCTACCTCGGTCCCAGGCTCTGGATAATTGGGGTTCCACGCACCCCAGCGGAACGCCCTCACTGGCAGGGCTGGAACCCGCTCCTCGAAATGCCCCATCTCACGTTGAGGGTGCAGCAACATCAGTCCGTTTAAGACGAATCGGCCAAGGGACGTCTGTCTGCGTCCACCTGGCACACTGACGGGGTGTCTCGCTTTCTCCCCACATCGCTCTGCGCCCCGGTCCCAGGCTCGCCACCCGTGCCTCGCCGTTGGCGGCTTCTCTCTCGGTCCGGGGACTCTACCCAGGGGGCTCCCGAGCTTCCCGGGCTCGTCGTCTTACCATGGCATCGTAGCTCAGGGCGTTCATGAAGTGCGCCACCTCGGCGCCCTTGTACACGGTGAACCAGATGGTACCCTGGTACTGGTCGCCGGCGTCGAGCAGCAGCACGTGGGGCTCGGCGCGGCGGATCTGGCGCACCTTGGTGGCGAGCCGTGCCACGCCGCCCACGCAGCGGCTGGCGTTGACGCACTTGCTCGAGTCCTCGCTCGTCTGCTCCAGCCGGCTGTGCACGTCGTTGGTGTGCAGTATGGTGAGCTCCCAGCCGCCTGCCGCGGACCACAGCAGCGCGCCCAGCGCGAGCAGCCTCAGCGCTGAGGCGCGTGCGCCTCGGGGACCCATGGCTGCAGCTGCCGGCGAGGGCGCGAGCGCGGTGAGTGCTGGCGAGCGCGGCGGGCACCGGAGTCAAGGGCCTGGGCCGGCGAGCGGGCGGGCCAGCGGGCGGGTGAGGCGAGGCGGGGCCGGGCCTGGGCGGGCTCTCCTGAGGCCCGGAGGCCGGCCCCACGGCCAGGCGCACGCCCGCGCGGTCACCCGATACGACCCCGGCCCGCCTGGCTGCCGGGGCGCGGCTGGCGGCTGGCACCCGCTCCGGGCGGTAACAGTGGGGAGTTTGTTCACGCTGGGGACCGGGCACCGGCCGCGGGCCCTGCCCGTCCGGGGAGCCTGGGCGCCGGCGGTGGGCTGTTCTTAACGGGGTGCGAGGGAGGAGTTGGAGGATCCACCCTGCTTCCAGGTCCTCCTTGATTCTCGCCTCTTTAAAATTTTTCTAAAGAGGGATGCCTTGTTTGTGTGAGTGGGTTTGTGGTTGCGTGAGCTCATCACTTGAAAGAACGAAAGAGGAAGGAGGAAGAGAGGACGTGGAAAGGAAGAAGGGCGAGACGAGGGAGACAGGGGAGCGCTGTGCTTTTGGGGCTGTGGGAGCCAAAGACGGGTCGTGAGCTGTGACTGCTCGCTTGCCAGTTTAAGGACACACCAAGTCTGCGTTGCTTAGACGTAGAATCTCAGAAGCTAGAAATCATTCTAATCCAGTCACGCGTCTATGGATGATTATAACCTTAGCGACACAACAGAAGCCGTGCGCCGTAGCTCTTGGAAGCTAAAACGGACCATCCCGATTAAAACCAGTAGCTCTGAGGGTGTGATGCTGCCTTCTGTTGCTTTTCTCGGCTTTTTTTTTTTTTTTCTGTCCGGTTTTTGAGGTTTTAATGTTTTAAGGATGGTGTGGTGTGTGTGTGTTTAAGGCAAAACTTCTGGCAAGGAAGGCAATGCTAATAGGAATGCATACAGTAAACAAATCATCATTATAATCGAGTTTAATATTGCTGCAGAGTTTCCCTCTGTTTAAGAGATTGATTTCTGGGTACAGTTAATAATCGAATTTGGGAAGGGAAGGAGCCCCTACTAGGTGTCCCATTATTTATGCTTTAAAGAACAGCCTATGTTGTCCTCACACTTCTCCAAAATGCATCAAGCCAGTCCTGCTGTATTTTTTAAAGATTTGGGGAACAAAATATACATAACATAATTTACCATTTTAACCATTTTAAATGTGCAGCTGAGTGGCATTAAGTACGTTCACATCGTTGTGCAGCCATCACCACCATCCATCTCCAGAACTTTTTCATCTTCCCAAACTGAAACTCCATAGACATTAAAAAATAACTTCCCATTCCCCTCTTCCCTCAGCCCTTGGCAACCACCATTCCACCTTCTGTCTCTGTGAATTTGAGTACTCTAGGTAACTCATATAAGTGGAATCAAACAATTTGTTCTTTTGTGACTCATTTCACTTAGTATAGTGGTTCAAACATGGCTGTTCAATGTTGTAGCATGTGTCAGAACTTTCTTATTAAGGCCGAATAATATTCCATTATATGTATATACCACATTTTGTTTATCCATTCATCCATTGGTGGACACAGGTTGTTTCCACTTTTTGGCTGTTGTGAATAATGCTGTTATGAACGTGGGGTACAATATCTGTTCAAGTCTCTGCTTTCAATTCTTTTGGGTATACACTCAACAGTAGAATTGCTGGATCGTACGTACGGTAGTTCTGTGTTTAATTTTTTGAGGAACTGCATACTTTCTTCCATAATGGTTGCCCCATTTTACATTTCCATAAGCAATGCACAAGGGCTCCAATTTCTCTACATCCTTGCCAATACTTATTTTCTGCTTTTGCTAATAGCTGTCCTAAATGGTTTGAAATAGTATCTCATTGTGGTATGATTTGCATTTCCTTAATAATGGATGATGGTGAACATTTTTTCATGTGCTTATTGGCCATTTGTATATCTTACTTGGAGAAATGTCTGTTCAAGTCCTTTGCCTATGTTTTAATAGGATTACTTGCGTTTTTTGTTGTTGTTGTTGAGTTTTAGCAAGTCTTTATATATTCAGGGTGTTAACTCCTTATCAGATATATCAGGGGTCCCCAACCCCCCTACCAGTACCAGTCCGTGGCCTGTTAGGAACCGGGCCGCACAGCGGGAGGTGAGCGGCAGGCCAGCGAGTGAAGCTTCATCTGTATTTACAGCCGCTCCCCATTGCTCGCATTACTGCCTGAGCTCCGCCTCCTGTCAGCATTATGGTGAGGTGTATAATTATTTCACTATATATTACAGTGTAATAATAATAGAAATAAAGTACACAATAAACATAACATGCTTGAATCATCCTGCAGCCATCCCCCCTGACCCCCCACCCCAGTCTGTGGAAAAGCTGTCTTCCACGAAACCAGTCCCTGGTGCCAAAAAGGTTGGGGACCGCTGAGATATATGATTTACGAATATTTTCTTCCATTCTATGATTGTCTTTTCACTCGGTTGATACCATTGCTGCACAGATTTTTATATTTTGATGATATCAGATTTATCTATTTTTTTCTTTTGTTGCCTGTGTTTTTAGTATCGTATCCAAGAAATCATTGCCTGATCTGATGTCATGAAGCTTTCTCCCATGTTTTTTTCTAAGAGTTTTATAGTTTTAAGTCTTCAATCCATTTTGAGTTAATTTTTGTTAATGGTGTAAGATGAGTGCAAAGGTGTTCTTTTACATGTAGATATCCAGTTTTCCCAACACCAGTAGGATGGATATTTATTTATTTATCATAAGGTATTGGCTCATGGGATATGGCGAAGTCCCGCAATCTGCCTTGTGCAGGCTGGAGGCCCAGGAAAGCCATTGATGTAGCCCAAAGGCCCAAGAGCTGGAGAGCCAAGGTGTAGATTCCAGTCTGAGTGTAATGGCCTGAGAAGCAGGAGTACCAGGACAGGAGAACGTGGATGTTCCAGCTCAGCAGTCAGGCAGAGAGGGAATTCAGCCTTCCTCTGTCTTTTTGTTGTATTCAGGCCCTCAATAGACTGGATGGTACCCACCCACACTGGGGAGGGCCATCTGCTCTCCTTAGTCCCCCACCTCAGATGCTAATCTCTTCTGGAAATATCCTGACAGACACACCCAGAAATACTGTTTAACCAGCTATCTGGGCATCCTGTGGCCCAGTCAAGTTGACACATGAAATTAGCCAGCATGGAGAGTGTAAGTCATTTGCCCAGGGAAAGCTGTACAGGTTAGGAGCAGCAGAGCCTGAGGCCATACAAGACCCCTTAATCCTGAAATTCATGCTTTGCAATATTTGCCCACCTGGCTGAAAGGTAGAGGAACTGGTAGTTATTTTTTAATTAAAATTAATTTTAGACTTACAGAAGACTTACAGAGGTAGTACAGAGAATTCTCACACACCCTTCACTTATCTTCCCCTAAAGCAAACAGCATATATAACCATCAAAACTAAACAAACGGGCTTCCCTGGTGGCGCAGTGGTTGGGAGTCCGCCTGCCGATGCAGGGGACGCGGGTTTGTGCCCCGGTCCGGGAGGATCCCGCATGCCACGGAGCGGCTGGGCCCGTGGGCCGTGGCCGCCGGGCCTGCGCACCGCAAAAAAAAAAAAAAAAAAAACACCACTAACAAACAATACTGAAACAAAACTATGAACTATGTTGCTGGCTTTGTTTGGATCTCACCAGTTATTCCACCATGACTTTTCTGTTCCAGCAGCCGATCCAGGCACCCCACTTAGACCTTAATCTTGTCTCCTCTAATCTGTGACAGTTTCTTGGTCTTTTTTTTTTTTTTTTTTTGTGGTACGCGGGCCTCTCACTGCTGTGGCCTCTCCCCTTGCGGAGCACAGGCTCCGGACGCGCAGGCTCAGCAGCCGTGGCTCACAGGCCCAGCCGCTCCGCGGCATGTGGGATCTTCCCGGACCGGGGCATGAATCCATGTCCCCTGCATCGGCAGGTGGACTCTCAACCACTGCGCCACCAGGGAAGCCCAGTTTCTTGGTCTTTTGTCTTTCATGACCTTGACACTTTTGAAGAGCACTGGTTTTTGTATACTGTCCCTCAGATTGGGTTTGTCTGATGTTTTCTCCTGGTGAGGCTGAGGTTATGGATTTGGGGCGAGAATACTGCAGAGGTGAGGTGTCTTTTCATCACGTCGTATCTGTGGGTACATGATATCAACACAGCTTACCACTGACCACTGGAGAACTGATACTTTGTAGTTTCTTGCTTTTTAAACCTGGGCCATTGAAATAGTCTTCAAAATTCCTGTCCTGGGGATGCCACCAGACTTCTGCTCCAACATCATGCCTCTGTCATTTGTTTGCACACAAGATCTAAAATGGCTTTGATTGCTTATTGGATCAGATTCAAACTTCCCAACCTGGCCTTTTAAACAGTCACTTCATCCATCTAACTTTACTTTCCACTGTCCCTCACAGGTCCATGCTTCCTCTTTCCTTCCCTCCCCACCATTCTCAGCCTGACCTCAGGCCAAGGCCCAAGTTTCCTTGAGGGCCTAGTTCAAGTCCCTGTGAAATTTCTTTGACTACTCCAGACAGCAGTGAGCTTTCTTTTCTCTAAATTTCGGATCTAGTCTTACAATCTCACTTTCTTGTGGTTTTGCCTTTTTCCCTAGGTGTTTAATGTGTGTGGCTTGTCTTTCCTCCAAGTGCTAAATACAAAGTAGCTGCTTCAGTAGTGTGATTCAAGTAGCACCCACCTAAAATCTACTTAGACATCATTCAGCTAGTAGGTGGCAGACAGATTTTCAATAGAATTGAATTCCAGCACTCAGATTACATTGTATGGTCCTTAAGTGTTAAGGAGTAGACATTATCACTCCTCTTTTATAGGTAATAAAATTTAGGTTCTGCATGTTAAATGGATTGCCCAAGTTTCCACAGGTGGACTTTTCTTTTTCGGCCACACAGAGGGGCATGTGGGATCTTAGTTCCCCGACCAGGGATCGAACCCGTGCCCCCCTGCATTAGAAGTGCGGAGACTTAACCATGGACCACCAGGGAAGTCCTCCACAGATGGACTTTT